CGAGGTGAACGATGTCCAAGCGAGCAAAGAGGAGCCTAGCCGAGGGCAACGAAACAAAGGAAAGAAGAAAAACTCAGGCCCTGTAGCATTTACATCGGCGACTCCTTTCGACTGTTTGTTGATGGGAGTTTAAACCAACAAGGAGTGGGGGCAGGAGTAGTACTAGTATCTCCAGATGGACAGATACTAGAACAATCCATTCGTTTGGGGTTTAAGGCCTCAAATAATGAAGCAGAGTCTAAAGCACTGATTGCAGGACTGAAACTGGCAGTAGTAGTAGAAGCAGATGAGGTGCTAGTCTTCTGTGACTCTTAGCTTATAGTCAACCAGACAACAGGCGAGTTCGCAGCCTAAGACAAAAGGATGTCGGCCTATGTAAAGGAGGTCGGCAAATTGGTGGCCTTGTTTCAGAATTGCCGGCTACAGCAGGTTAGTCGAGATGATAACAGTCATGCTGATGCCCTAGCCAACCTGGCTAGTGCAATACAACCTAGAAAGGCAAGGACGATAATGGTTGACTACTTGCCTGGTCCAAGCATAGAACCACTAAACAAAGAGTGCAAAGCAATGTGTGTGGAGATGGGACCAAGTTGGATAGATGCAATAATAGCATTCCTTAAAGACGGGAAGTTGCTCGATGACAGAAAAGAAGCGCACAAGATCAGACTGAAGTCGGCAAGATTCAGTTTGACCCTAGAAGGACACCTCTACAGAAGATCATTTACTGGACCCCTTCTGAGGTGTGTGCATCCTGCACAGGTTGAAGATTTTCTGTACGAGATACATGAAGGAATATGTGGAAGCCATGCTGGGGGCAGGTCACTTGCCCACAGGGCCATTACTCAAGGGTACTGGTGGCGCTATATGCAAAAAGATGTCGAACCTTATGTGAAGAAGTGTGAGAAGTGCCAAAGGTTTGCACCTTTGATACATCAACCAGCAGCTGCCTTGAACCCAATATCCAGTCCTTGGCCATTTGCCCAATGGGGCATGGATCTTGTCGAAAAACTACCTCAAGCAACTAGACAAAGGAAGTACTTACTAGTGGCAACAGATTATTTCACCAAGTGGGTAGAAGCTGAACCCCTTGCCAAGATTCGAGACATTGATGTAAAGACTTCATCTGGAAGAACATCATTACCAGGTTTGGGATTCCAAGAGCAATAGTTGCAGACAATGGAACACAATTTGACAGTAAGCTAATCAAAAGCTTCTGTGCAAAGTTCAAAATCAAGAATTACTTTTTGACCCCACGTTTTCCTCAAAGCAATGGACATTTAGAAGCGTCCAACAAAGTTATCTTGGATGGGATAAAGAAGAGACTGCAAGCAGCAAAGGGAAAGTGGGTAGATGAATTGCCCAGTGTACTCTGGGCATATCAAACTATGCCGAGAAGATCAACGAGGGAATCCCAGTTTGCCATGGCTTATGGCACAAAAGCAGTCATTCCGCTGGAGGTCGGCATCCCAGGGGCCAGAACCCAGGCAGTGAAGAATAGAACTAATGATGTATTTTTAGCTCGAGATATGGATCTTCTAGAAGAGAGAAGGGAGAAAGCAGCAATTCAGCTGAGGACATACCAGCAGCAGCTTGCCAGGGCTTACAATAAAAAGGTGAACCCACGAGAGTTCCAAGTTGGTGACCTTGTCCTGAGAAAGGTCGTCAGCAACAAGAAGGACCCCAGAGAAGGCAAGCTTGGCCCAAATTAGGAAGGACCCTATAGAATCATCTCGACCTTAGGAAACGGGGCATATCGGCTTGAGGATTGCGAAGGCAAAGAGCTCCCAAGACCCTGGAATACTTGATATCTGAAATTTTTTTATCATTAGACTTTCTTGTTCTTTGTTATTAGCCGAAGTAATAATAAAGTTCTAGCTTGATTTTTTTATGACTGATAAGATACTTGATGATGTCTCTGGAATACATGCATAATGAGAACCCAAGTGGAACTTAAGTTCACATTAGGGGTCAGAGAGTTGGGAAATGGTTCCTGGAAAGGTAGAATTTACAAACGAAAATTAGTTTAACGCTTGTTGAAATTTAAGTTTACAAGTTGAAGTTAAACCGATGTCATGTTTAACGCTTGTTGAAACTTAAGTTTACAAGTTGAAGTTAAATCGATGTCATGTTTAACGCTTGTTGAAATTTTAAGTTTACAAGTTGAAGTTAAACGGAGGTCATGTTTAACGCTTGTTGAAATTTTAAATTTACAAGTTGAAGTTAAACTGAGGTCATGTTTAACGCTTGTTGAAATTTTTTAAAAAAAATTTACAAGTTAAGACCAAGGTTGTATTAAAAATAGTACATATGTACTTGCCGAGGTAAACCATCGGTTTGTATAACCGAGGTATATCACCCCGAGGAAATTACACAGATAAGGTGTATGCTTGAAAGCATGCAAAATTATTCTAAGCACAGAATCATACAAGAGTCATACAAAGGAAATTGTACTTGCATTTAGAAGAATCAGTTCAAAAAAAAGAGGGCACTTCAGCCTACCAAAAGAATAGTTGTTCAGAAATTACAAAAGTAGCACTTCGGCCAGATCCAAGCTTACATTGATTCAAAAAGTAAGACAAAGTACTAAGTACAAAGCAAAAAACTAAAACTCTTCAGCGTCTATGGCTGGTTGGGTCTGGAGTTTAGAAGACAGCTAAGAAGACATCTCGGCGGCCCTCTCAGCCGCAAGCTCGGCATCAATTTCTTGAAGAGTTTGGTCGAGGCTCTTGTCGGCAAAAGGCGCCTCCGATGTTGCCTTCTCAGGAGGAGCGTCTTTGGAGACCTCACATTCCTCATCATGAGTCAAGTCTAGGACTTGCTCATTTGGAGTAGGGGACTTGGCCCCAGCAGCTTCCTTCGATTTCCTCACCAAAGCTTCCTCCTCAGACTCATAATCGTCTTCGGATTGGCTTGGAGTGGATTGAAATGGCAGGGGGAGGACGTCGGCATTCTTGAGGGGGAGTCCTCGGGGACGTCAAGCTTTTTTAGAGAAGCCATCCAACCAAGGGTGAAACCCTTGTTGCATGCCTGCTTCACTTGTTTTCTGTAGTCCTCCTTGACGTCGGCCGCCCCCTCTGCGTATGCCCTCTCATCGGCGGCCTTGATCTCGGCCTCGTTTGTGGCTAAGGCATCTTGGAGTTCTTTTTGGGCCTCGGCCGTCTTTTCTTCAGCCTCTTTCTTTTCGACCTTAAAAACCTTCTTAATGGCCTCTGCAGCATCTGCTTTTTCCTCGGCCACGTCTTTGGCTTTAATGGCTGCCGCAGCCTGATTTGACAAGGTCTTTATTTTTGCCTCGACCCTTTTGATGGTCTTCTGTAAACCACCAACCTCTCTGATCTTGTCGGCCAACTCCTTCCTCATTTCAAAAGATTGCATTGAGAAGGAGTGGGCGTGCTGGATCGCCTGAAAGAAAATGGACAGAACAAAAGTTAGTCGAAGTTCTAAAAGTATGAAAGAATAGAGAAAGAAAAATACCAAGTGTAAAAGACTTACTTGAACAGAATGCTGGAGCATCAAAGCAAAGTTTTCATACTCGTTCATCTCGGCGTTTTGGTTAAGATCGTTTGGAAGGAGCAAAGCCGTAGAAAGGACGACACCGACTTCGAGATCAGTCGCACTGTCGCCAGCTTTGACCGGCTTGTCATCGATGGTGATCGGAGGGGCCCAGGGAGCATCTGGCTTCATTGGCCCCAAGGTTGTGGTTGACTCAGACCTTGGCCTTTTTGACCGAGTGGATTGGGATGGTTCTGCCTCAGCGGGTCTCTTCTTGGCAGCGAAAGTGGTCTTTTCACTCTCATCCAATTTTGAAATTGGTAAGGTGTCCTCAGTATCAATCTGAGTCGCCGTTGCCTTTGGCTGAGCCTTCTTCAGTCTTTTTTGGTTCGGCTTCGGTTGAGGCTGAGATGATGCTGGTTGAGCGTCGACGGTGGATGGGATGTTGGCCAAGAGATCTTCAGCGACTGTTTTCTTGCGGCCCATCTCAGCAGCGAAAACAATTCGGCATCGTCGATGGCGTTGAGATAGTGGGATCAATTGAGAAGCCGAGGTAGATGGCTGCTCTGTTGGATCAGAGGTTGACCTTTGATCTGGCCGAGATGATGAAGTTGTGGGAGGAGTAGTGGCGAACGGAGGAGACTGACTCTTCTTCTTCTTTGGAACGTCGGGAAGAACCAACTTGTAAGTGGGAATGAAGTTAAGTAGCAAAGGGGCTCTCCGCTTGTGAACTGGCAGATCCAGTAGCTTCTTTAAGTCCTTGCTGGGCAAGAAAGACTTGCAAAAGCCCTTTGGTGGTTGTGGAAGAACTACAAAAAGAAGAGCACAGACGTTAGAACAAAGTATTGAAAACTTGGGAAAAAAAGCAAGGAAATGTGACACCTGGCTCTTACCATCTCCTTCCCTGAAAACTGTTCAGCTTAGGAGATAAAGGTGGAGGTCATCGTTTGGTTGAAACTCCCAGTTGCCCGAGACGATGAAGTAATCATCTCCAGCACCCTTGTTTGAGTTTGGGAGGTCGGCAATAAGCTTGTATTCCGTGGACCTCAGCTTGAGGTAATAGATATGGCCTTTTTCCGATTTTAGGCAACACATGGTGTAACAGTACTGGATGTCGGCAAATGTAACCCTAGTATTTTCTTTCTTGGCTAAGGCGATTATACCATTGATAACTCGATAAGAGTTGATGGAAAGTTTCATTGGGTTCAATTTGTAGTAGTGGAGGACTTCTCGGAAAAGGGTGTCAAGTGGAAACCTAAGTCCACACTCGATAAAGGCCACTACTGGGAAAGGCATGAGATTCACGTCGGGTATAATGGAATCCTCCTCCCCTGCCAACCTGAGGTGGATGTCGGCAGGAATGGAAAACTTCTGCCTAAAGTACTCTAACTTAGCTGGGGTGTCTATCCTATGCTTCCACATACCCATGACGTTGGTTTAATTGGAGGAGTTGAATTTCAGACGAAGTGTTTTTGAAGGGTTTGAAGGACCTCGGCTAAAACCTAAAAATGTACTATGGTAAGAGTTTGTATGGATCTAAAGGGAATTCGTGTCAGTTTTTCCTAAGGTTCGTAAGTTCTATAGACAAAATCCCAATCCTAAGTCTAGGCAAGTAAAGATTGAAGGCAAGAATCAGGAAAAAAACACAGCAAACAGAAACAGGAATGCGATTCAAAGTCAAGAACAGTGATGAATCATCAAAGAACACAGTGGTAAAACTTGTGCAAGTGTGTGAAGCCAAGAACAGTGGTAAAAATTAACAGATATGTAAGCAATGTGAGTATTTAAGAAAGGATTGGGCAAAAAACAGAATCACAAAGTAAACATGCTCAAGCACATGGTGGAAATTGAGGTACAGATTAAACGATCAGAGACATGAGCAAGTTCGCAAATATAACAGAGTTCGAAGTAAATCAAGAACTGAAACTAGGAGGAACAGTGGCTTACGAGAGAAAGTGAGGACGGTGTGAGGATTGCCGAAGTCAGACGACAATTGCAAAAGCGACGAAACGGTAAAAATCTCGCCGGAAAAGGTGAACGGAGCAAGTTGCAGAGCTCTAACGCTTGAATCAAAGGCAGATTTGGGAGAGCGAAGAGAGAGAGCTTGCACGGGAATGAAGATGCAAAGGTGAAACGACGAAGAGAGAGGAAGAAAGTTTTGTTGAAACACAAATCAGTAGCAAAAAGGCAATTAATGTGCCTAAAACGACATGCATGTCAGACGGTGCACGCGAGAGCAATGCGACTTAGCGACGCGTATCGGGTACGGCCCAAAGAGAGAGAGACGTGTGGCAAGAACGGTTGAGTAGTCATGCGTGACAGCTCATACGCGTGTTGAAGCTCTTAGAATTCTCGATTTAACAGGGTATAACCTCGGCTTGGAGGATGATCTCAGCTGAGAAACTTGAACAAAACTTAGTTAATGATTTTGTGGCATTAGTAAAAGCAGACTGTAAGTGTTTGGTCATATTGAGCCGACGTATTATGACCTCGGTAATGAACGAATGAAGTGAACTTAGCCGACGTTCTAAATGGAAGAAACAATATAGGTTTCATCACCTCAAGATGCCGAGGTAATAGAATCTAGGGATAGTTGTGGGGACATATTTTCTGAGTGCCAACATGTGACCAAGGTGACGCCGAAGTGTCATCCGAGGTGCCACATGTCCTGGTCATGACGCCGAGGTGATCTCGGCCAGGCCGAGGTTATCTCCGAAGATATCGGAGTCCTGGATAAGCGGATAAGGGGTAAGAGTCCGAAAATAAGAGAAGACTTCGGTTTGGGTAAAGATAAGACTCTTAGAGAGTTTATTCCAATCCTACTAGGAGTCCAAGATTAGCAGTAATCCTAAGTCCACTAGAGCTAAGCTTCTATTGGGACTAGGATTGTATTGGCTATAAAAGGGAGGTACCTCCATGGGTCTGAGGTACGCAATATATATTCTGAATAGTGAGTTAAGCATTTTTGCTATCTTTGAGAGATAACTGACTTGATCATCGGAGTGCCCCCGGGTGGACGAACCACCGCCGAAATCTCTTCTTTCTATTGCTGCTCGTTTGGGCTTAATCTATTCTTCCGGTGCTCTCCAGCTAAGTACTAATTTGGCAGTGTGATCGGAAATTGACACACACAACAATAATCCAATTTACAATAAAATCGAAAATACCCAACAAAGTGAAAAAATTATTCCATTAGCCTCACATAAATTAGGGTAAACAATAGAGCACATACATTGAACTAAAATCTAAAACCAATTACCGAAGAAATAAATCACAACAATTGTTCCTCCATTAAAATTGGCTAAAAAAATAGAGAGGGTGAGGACTTACCGGTGTCTCGCTGCTTGAGAGAGAGAAATCTGTGGAAATTTAGACTTTCAATACATTGTGGGTGTTTGGGAAGTGAGTTTTTTTGTAGGTTTTTTTAGTTGTAGGATATTATTGGAGAAAAAAAATTTTGTGTTTGGGAAGATAGTTGAGTTTTTTTGTGGTTGGATGTGATATTTGTAAGAGAAAAAGTGAAATGATTATAGAGTTTGATGTGATATCTTGCTTGAATTTGTTTTTTTTTTTATATTTTGTAATCAACTTGTCTTTTAGTGAAAAAAAAATAAAAATAAAAAACTCAAAAAATTTCTTCCCAAACACCGCCATTGTTTTTAATTTCAAACTATTGCCCGAAAATTTGGGCCCTTTGTTTTTTAGTTGGGACGTTGAGGCCCTTTGTTTGATTGGGCTGAATGCTGAATTGGGTTGGGCTGTATTTGAACTATGTAAAACTGTAATACAAAAAACAATTGGGCCTTTTTAAAAAAAAAATGGGGACCCGAGATTTACGCTCGATCGGGGACCTTATTTTCAGAAAATCTGCCTAAGTGTTCCAACTCATGTTTTGGCATTCTCATTGCATCCTAGGTATCCCTAAGCCTTAATTAAGCCATAGTAATGAGGTTATGGATTAGAAACACACTAAGGAGTGAATGTACCAAGTTCCGAGACTGCAAGTGTGTGTGTGTGTTTTAATCAATGTGCTAAGTATGAACAAGAACCAACGTAATGAAAGTTAAGCTGTGTTGGCCATGTGAACGTGTAATAATGAGATATGTTGTGTTATGTACTTTTGTGATTGTAGGTCAACGTCTGAAGATTGATTAACCGTTTGCGAGAACCACTATGAGTAACATTTCTATAAAGATATGTTGATATGAATTATGTTCCAACGGAAATGTGATAAGCTATGATTTCTGAAATGATATCTGTTTACGTGAACGAACATCCCAAGTTTGAAATCTATTATGGCATCCATAGATAGTCCTAAGTCATGGGGGGACGGCATGAAAATGCGGGTCCATGACATACAAGTAATTACGAGATCTCATTAGCCACTTCATTGTGGTGATATGTGTTTAATCGGTATCCGGAATTGATTACTCTAGTCGGAAGACGTTCTGTAATGTGTTCTATGGGATGTATCATTATTATGTTCTGATATGAGGATGATTATGCTATGATCTGTTTTTCGTTTATGATATGTTCGGATTTCGTTCACTAACCCCTTTACCTTAATGTTATTCACTAGGCTTTAGCGCACTGTTTGTATATATATTATAGGTGAGCATTCTGGAATTCGAGCCTGGAGGCTTTTTGTCTGGATCTGTGTTCTGTTGTCAGCTAGCCATTGTGCCTCACGTGGAGGTTCCCGAAGTGTCTTGTGTTCAAGTTCTGTTGGTTCTGTGTATATATATGATTTGATGTAATTCTGTTGGCTGTACTTAAAATACTGTAATGTGTGTGGATATAATGTATGGTTGACTTTTGGTTATTGTATATAAAGTTTTTAAATATTCTGTTTCATATAAGTCAGCACAGCTCATTGGACAACTATATTTATGTATTTACTTCCGCTAGCCCCTTATTATATGCTAATCTGTTCAGAGGCCTTCGGTAATCCAAGGATTACTGGCCGGTTACAATGCTAAACCTATAAGGGCGGGTTTGGGTCGTGACACCAAACTAACCAAAAACAGAGCTAAGGCAGGTCCAACAAGTCCCAAAAACAAACTTGAGCTAAGTCACAAAAGAGTAAAAGAGCGTGCTCAATTATGAGGCCAACAATGCATACAAGCAAGACAAAAGGAGAGTGGGACCACCCCCTCCTATTTTGGACCATAAGAGCAACTTTTTATCACTAAAATTTCTCTGAGTTTCAGTGGTAGAAAGGCCATGCAAGGAAAGAATCAAAAGCTTAGAGAGAATGGCTCAAAAGCTTAGCAAATAAGGCATACAAGGAGGTGAAACACCTCCAACTCTGACAAAGCCTTAAACAACCATCTTTAACATTTAAAAACAGAGTTTTTTTGTAGTTGAGAACTAGGCCAAAATAAGCATGCAAAGGTGGCTTAAACTAGTATACAACAAACAAGCTTAAAATGAGAAGAAGCTTACCCTTGTAGCATAGAAAGAAGGCAGCAACTTCAACAGCAATTCTGGACTAAAACCAATACTAAGGCCTCGTTTGGGAAGGGCAGGTCTAGCCAAAAATTCAAAAAATTACTAAAAAAGCCAAAAAGCCAACAACCCATACCAAAAAGTCAAAGATTCTCTTTTTTCTCTACTTTTTGCACATCTTTTCGTAAAAAGTCAAAAAGTCATCCCAAACATACTAGTTTTTTTTAGCTCATGTTTTAGCCAAATAGCCAAAAAGTTACTAAATTAGCCTGTTCCTAAACGGGGCCTAAGACCTCAAAATAAACTCCAAGGTACCTCAGCTCCAAAGTTATGGTGTTTGACTAGGTGTTTGTGTACAAAAGTGTGAAGAAATAACACTTCTAAGCACAAAATATATATATATATATATAGAGAGAGAGAGAGAGAGAGTGAGAGTGAGAACTCTAGAGAGAGAGGGATATTTTTGCTCTGGAAATGCGGAATCCCTCTCAAGGGGGAGGAAGCTCCCCTTATATAGGCCAAGCAAGCCAAAAGGCTTGCTCAATCCCTCCATACACGTGTATGGGGGATGAACCCAGTGAGCCACAACTGGCTCAAAAGATCTACAAATATCTAAAAATGAGAAAAAGTGGCAGTTAAGTGGCCGGTCGGCCACTTCCTCTAGTCGGCCGGCCACTTAAAGTGGCCTACAAGGGAGAAGGTGGCCGGCAAGGCCCTCCTCTCCCCAAGGCAAGAGGCAACAAGGGTTGGCACAAAAAACAAGGCCAAAACACAAAATGTTAAGAGGTTCAAAGACAAGGCACTCAGTCGAGACTTTCGGGCGCTCGAAACAAGCACAAACATGCGCAATCATCGCGTGCACAAACGATGACGTCTGAGTCTTAAGGTTGGTCAAAAATGGGGTGTCTACACATATCCAATGTATTTAATTGCTTATCATATACAATGATCAATTTAAAACACATATAAAATGTGTTAATCCAACCGTCATATTAAATGACATATCCCAATCGATTAGTTTCAATTTACCTAATCATCATGCAATTCTACAATAAACATGGCTATCCTCCACCGATAACCCAAAATAGTTATTTCTAAACAGATAATTAAATTTATCAAACAGATAAATTAGCACATTTTCATAGGTGAGTGATTAATCAATCCAACTACACCATTCAACCTCATAATTTCCCAATTTCATGATTTCCAACTCAATTTCATATTTCCACAAATTATCAAAATAATTATACAAATTAACTATTTAAGTCCAATTAGGGCATTTTCCTCCTTTTTTTTTTTTTTTTTCAAACATCAACCCTAAGGCTCAATTTCATCAATTCTACACCAACAACCCCATTTTCCAAGGTCTCATACACACATGGAACTCCACATTAACAAACCCCTATTTTATAATTTCAATTTCAAAATGGAAGAAACAATATAGGTTTCATCACCTCAAGATGCTGAGGTAATAGAATCTAGGGACAGTTGTGGGGACATATTTTCTGAGTGCCAACATGTGACCAAGGTGACGCCGAAGTGTCATCCGAGGTGCCACATGTTCTGGTCATGACACCGAGGTGATCTCGGCTAGGCCGAAGTTATCTCCGAAGATATCGGAGTCCTGGATAAGCGGATAAGGGGCAAGAGTCCGAATATAAGAGAAGATTTCAGTTTGGGTAAAGATAAGACTCTTAGAGAGTTTATTCCAATCCTACTAGGAGTCCAAGATTAGCAATAATCCTAAGTCCACTAGAGTTAGGCTTTTATTGGGACTAGGATTGTGTTGGCTATAAAAGGGAGGTACCTCCATGGGTCTGAGGTACGCAATATATATTCTGAATAGTGAGTTAAGCATTTTTGCTATCTTTGAGAGATAACTGACTTGATCATCGGAGTGCCCCCGGGTAGACGAACCACCGCCGGAATCTCTTCTTTCTATTGCTGCTCGTTTGGGCTTAATCTATTCTTCCGGTGCTCTCCAACTAAGTACTAATTTGGCAGTGTGGTCGGAAATTGACACACACAACAATAATCCAATTTACAATAAAATCGAAAATACCCAACAAAGTGAAAAAATTATTCCATTAGCCTCACATAAATTAGGGTAAACAATAGAGCACATACATTGAACTAAAATCTAAAACCAATTACCAAAGAAATAAATCACAACAATTGTTCCTCCATTAAAATTGGCTAAAAAAATAGAGAGGGTGAGGACTTACCGGTGTCTCGCTGCTTGAGAGAGAGAAATCTGTGGAAATTTAGACTTTCAATACATTGTGCGTGTTTGGGAAGTGAGTTTTTTTGTAGGTTTTTTTAGTTGTAGGATATTATTGGAGAAAAAAATTTTTGTGTTTGGGAAGATAGTTGAGTTTTTTTGTGGTTGGATGTGATATTTGTAAGAGAAAAAGTGAAATGATTATAGAGTTTGATGTGATATTTTGCTTGAATTTGTTTTTTTTTTATATTTTGTAATCAACTTGTCTTTTAGTGAAAAAAAAATAAAAATAAAAAACTCAAAAAATTTCTTCCCAAACACCGCCATTGTTTTTAATTTCAAACTATTGCCCGAAAATTTGGGCCCTTTGTTTTTTAGTTGGGACGTTGAGGCCCTTTGTTTGATTGGGCTGAATGCTGAATTGGGTTGGGCTGTATTTGAACTATGTAAAACTGTAATACAAAAAACAATTGGGCCTTTTTAAAAAAAAAAAATGGGCACCCGAGATTGACGAATTGAACAATTTATCTTGTGCTAGCCTCATGTGGCTTCTTTTGAGGATTAGATTTGTTCATCTAGGGTCTCATATGTAAATCATTTATGAAAAAAATAAAAATATGATTAAGTCGATAATTATAATTATATAAAAAAAAAAATCGTACTTATCCGTTTTTGTCCATTTTATGATAAATGAGATGGTGACAACTACCATTTTTTTTTTCCTAATTAGTTTGCACACATGGGCCTAGAAATGAATGAAAATAATCATCAAAATAGATCACGCCATCAGGTTCACTTGATGATTTAAATTGTTCAACTTTTAAAATCTTATACATGTAAATTTCAATTCAAATCATCTAAGTGAGGATAATGGTAAAGTATAAGAATCAGATTGTTCAATTTAAAACAATAAAAATTAAAGTAAAACCTAGATCAAACTATAGAAATTAGAAATGAAATTAACCCTTTATATAATTTTACTTCCATCCACCCAAACTTTACTAAAAATTCATTAAGCTGTACAATTTTGAGTATTTATAAAAACAAATTAGCTTTTTAACTCTCAAAATTATATAAATTTTACTTTAGGCCCTAAAAAATTTAATAATTTTTATCATAACCCTTAAGTGTGTTTGTTTTAAGGAATTATTTCATAAGATTGGACTATTAATCCATCCGGACTAATAGTCCATTGTTTGGTTCAATCTTTTTTTCTCCGGATTAATAGTCCCTCCGGACTATTAGTTCCTCATATGACGGATTATTGTATCCTAAGGGGAGGGGTGAGATTATTTTCATGGGATTGGTATCCCATGGGATTAATGTGTGAAATGTTTATTTTACCCCCATACTATTATTTAATAAACAATTGAAAAAGGGTAAAATAGTCTTTTGAACAGTTATAAATTATTTTTTTAGTGTTGTTAAAAAATTAAATTTATATATTAAATAAAAGTATTTTTTTAGTGTTGTTAATTTAAAATTATATATTAAATAAAAAATATAAATTATAAATTAAATTTAATTAAAAATAATAAATTAAAAGATAAAAAATTAAAAATTAAAAATATTTATAAATTAAATTTTTTTAGTGTTGTTATTATATTTTCCACAAATCTTTTGAACATTTATAAATTATAAATTGTTAATTTAAAATTATATATTAAATATAAATTATAAATTATAAATTTAATTTAATTGAAAATAATAAATTAAAAATTATGGCCTTATAAATTAAAAAATTTAGTGTTGTTAAATTATAAATTATAGATTACAAATTTAAAATTATATATCAAATAAAAATTATAAATTACAAAGGTAAAATAGTCTTTTGAACATTTATCTTTATCCAGTCCGTCCAATCAAACATTAGATTCACTAAAAATACTCCAATCCAGATATCTAATCTCATGACTAAACAAACATAGGATACAAATCTAGTCCAACCAAATAGTCCGGGGACAATGTATCCCAAGCCTAATAGTTCGATAGATTACAATCCCCCCTTTTCCAGTTCGTCCAAACAAACAATGTGTGTTTGTTTTGAAGGATTATTCCATGAGATTGGATTATTAGTCCATTCGGACTAATAGTCCATTGTTTGATTCAAAATCCATTGGTACAGGACTGGTAGTCTTAAATCCATTGGACTATTGTGTCTCATGGGGGTATGGGACACAAATGGAGGGATAAGAGGGGATATGGGATTAATTGGTGAAATGATCATTTTGACCATCTACTATTTAATTATATATTATATTTAGTAAAATTTAGTAAAATTTAAATGTCTCAATTTAAAAATAAAATAATTTTATTTAATTTTTATTGATATTTTATTTATTTAAGTTTTTTAAATAATTTTTTATAGATATTTTATTGATGTTTTATTTTAAAATTTTGTTTATATTTTATTTAATTTCATTATTTAAATTTTAATAGATTTTTTTATTTAATTTTATTATTTAATTATTCTTATTTTTTAAAATAAATTTATTTCAAATTTTAATTAAAAAATAACATATGTTTTTATTGATATTTTATTTATTTAATTTAAAAAAATAAATTTGTTTAATTGTGTAAAAAATAAAATAAAATAAATTTTATTTTAATCTATTTGAAATAATTAAAATATTAAAGATATGTTTAATGTTGTTATTACTTAGTAAATAATTGAAAACGGTAAAATAATCATTTGAACATTTATCATTGTCTATAATATCCCAAACAAACATAGGATTCATGTCCTATCCAACCAAATAGTCCGGAGACAATGTAACCAAGGCTAACAGTCCGGTAAATTCCAATCCCCTCTTATCCAGTCCGTCTAAACAAACGCACTTTAATTTCTAGATCCATTGTGCACGAATTTACTGGCTGACATGTGTAAGCTATTAATTTCATATCCACATCAATAAACATGGCAAATCTCTACATAAATCACTCAATCTACTTTTAGTCACCTTTGTAAATACATGTTGATCTAGCTCTATATAAGATAGCTAATCACATAAACCATTGTAGAACATAGGACAGCCATGGCTTATTGCCCATCTATTCTCCAATCTTGTCTGCTAGCCCTAGCAGTCCTACAATCCATTGTTGCTGTCCAATTTGAAGTCGACAAGTTGCCGGATCAACCCCAGGCGGAGCCCGATTCACGAAAGAGATAGGGGTCAAGTTTGCAAACCAGACAATGGACACCACCACAAACTTCATATGGAAGATGTTTGAGGAAAACACTGCTGCAGAGAGAAAGGACCAGCAGAAAGTTCTAATGACAACCAACTAGGCCTAACCTAGTTGGCCACCATGTCTTCCTCAAGGTTTCATCCAAGGAGGTCATGGGTTCAATTCTCCTTAAAGAGATTGAATTAAGGGTGTGCAAGCACTTAGTGCTTTGTCAAGGGTGGGGGATTTTCTCCCATAGATACTAATCTAACAACTAACAATTAACATTTGAAGATAAAAAAAAGAAAAAAGAAGTTCTAATGACGATCGAGACGCTGAAGCCATGGGATATGGCAACACCATCAATGTCAGTGCAATATACTTGTTGGGATACCAGGGAAATTTGAAGTGGGAGTTCACTTCTTTGATTTATCATGAAATGACTCACATTTGGCAGTGGTCTCGGAATGGCCAGGCTCCCGGTGGACTCATCGAAAGTATCGTTAGTCTAGCAAAATAATAAACCGGATATGACAGAAAATAAAACATAAACAAAAGTTAAATTACAGTTAAAACTAATATAACGTGTAAGCACCCACTACATAAACCATATTTTGATTTTAATTAAAATTCTCCAAATAGGTATTGTGGATTATACGATCTTGAAGACCAGCCAAGCCTGGCACGGGTGGGATCAAGGTTATGATTTTACAGTGCGATTTTTGGAGTACTGTAGGGGTTGGCCCTGGGCTAAGGCCACTAAGGCCTGTGCCTAGGGCCCCAAATTTTGGCTCAAAATAAGGCTCCAAATTTATTAGTTTTATATTAGATTAAAAGTTCAAAATCCAATCTTTTTTTATTATTTGAGATCCAGTTTAAAAGGCCCCTCAAAAAAATCTGTTGGGCCAAATTAAAAAATATATATATATATATATATATAATTATTGTTAGGTCCAATTAAAAATTTATATAATTAATCCAAATAAATATATATGATATAATGAGTCCAAATAGAGTTTAGTGTCAAAAATTTAATAGAATAAATAACTTTATCTTAATTTTTTTGCCATTTTTCTTTATCATTTTTTTATTGAATAATTTTACCCTAATTTCTTTTCTTTAATTTTGTTTGCCCTAATTTTCCTGCTCTCTCTCTCTTTATCATAATTTAATTGAATAATTTTTCCTTAGTTTTTTCTCCCAATTTTTTTCAATAATTTATGTTTTGTTATCAAATAATTACTGAATTGTGATTTGTGTGGATTTTGATTGTTTTATCAAATATCATATTACAATAACATAATCATTTCGTTATCAGATATCAATAAATTATTTGTGTTGATTATTGTTAAACTATAAAACAACAAGACCATATTTTATCAATTGAGTCTTTGTAATGAATTTTTTGTATCTTAATAAATGAAAATAAATTTTAATGATTATATGTATAAAGAAACCTTTTGTAGCTACTAAATAATAAAAAATATTATCGGTAACTTTTTATTTTATCCTTAATTTTTTTATAAAATACTATATGTAGGAGAGTCTCACTTTCAAAGCCCGCCTAAGGCCCCATAAATCTTAGGGCCGGCCATGAGCACCGTGATGGACTTAGGCCTGGTTTTGTGGTGGCGCTGAACAAGAAGATGAGGAATGCTTTTAGTCTGAATTACTTTGTTGAGTTGTTTGGAAAACCAGTTGATCAGTTGTGGAAGGAATACAAAGCCAAGTGTGCTGGTCAAGGAGTAGTAAGCAATGGTAGTGAAAATGAAAATGTAAGTAGGATCAGAGAATATAAGGATAGGTACGAGGGCAAAAGACGGTATGTGTCTCTCAGTTAGCTCAGTGCTTCAATTGAATGGATTCACAGAATAAGTTTTAGTGCCGATGAACTATCTAAATAAGATATGACTAAGATTGGAATTTTATGAAAATTATATAAATATTTGTCACGTGATAAATCATATTTTTTCGTACTATTTGGAGAATTTTACCCTAGAAAGGTAAATCATGAAGATGATTATACAATCGTATTTTATGAAAATTATACAATGATTTATGATCGTCTTCAAGATTGTATAAATTATTTTTTATTATAGATTCTCCAAATAATCTATAATAAAATTAAAAAATGCCTACTATTATAATCGTCTACTATTATAGTAAAAAATGCCTACAATCTTCAAGATTGTATAATCGTCTTCAAGATTGTATATCATAAATCATTTGGAGAATTATAAATCATGAAAATTAAATGCCTACTATTCCCAAATCGATCTTATTTTTTATTATAGATAAGCTACAGATATGGGCCTAGAAATGAATAGAACTAACCATCAAAATAGACCATATGGATAGTCTAATTTCAAGATTGAAGAGAAGTTCATTCCGTAACTAATTATTTAATAGCTTCGCTTCTTAAGAAGATTGAATGAGAAAAGTAATGAAAGGATAAGAGTATCTCCAAGGGAAGAGGTATATTATTTTAGCTAATATTACCGTAAAAGACTCACTCCAATGGGCTAGCTAAGTGGCTTCCTATTTTCCCTCGTCCCTTCTCCGCTGGCTTCAATTGGAGAGTGATTGAACGCTCTTCAAACTCGTCTCTCCCGCGAAATTCGATCTGCTTCTTCTCTAAACACGTCTCTCCCACGAAAGATCGATCTACTTCTTCTCCAAACACGTCTCTCCCGCGAAATCGATCTGCTCCTTCTCCAAACTCGTCTCCCCCGTGAAATTGATCTGCTCCTTCTGTGTGAAATCAATCTTCTCCTTCAGCGTTGTCTACAACTCCCTCCATCTGACCTCTTCCTCAAGGTATGGATCATTCTATCTCTTTGGCTTCCCCTTCTATGCAACTCATAAACCCTCTCTCTCTATCTTCAACTCTCTTCCCCTCCCATATCTGCGAAACCCAAAATTGAAACCCCTATCTGTGTTCATTCTCTGCATGTTCTTTTCTTTGTTTTTCACATGTATGTATCTGAGATTGGTAGTCTTGTAGGCTGCTGCTACAGTTGCTTAGATTCATGTATGTGAAAACATTAGTGATTTTAATTGGTTTAAACCTTTTTTTTTTTTTTCTAAATTCAATTATCTTAAGACGCCAATTTGATGGGTTTTGGGAAAGATCAAATTGGGTTTGTTTTCCTTTTATCTAGTTCTTTGATTTGCAGGTTATGTTTATGTGTTTTGTTTGGGTTTTGAGAAAAATTTCTGTGAAATTTTGAGGTGGTGTTATCTTATTTCCTGAATATAGATGATGTTTAGTTTATGAATTTTACTTTCAATGATCAGCAAGCAGGAGATAAAATTAGTTTATGAATTTATCACCATCACTTGTAAGCTTTTTGAAACTTGCATGCACGGTATACACAAATATCCCAATTATTTTCCTTTAAGACTTCTACCACCCTTTTTTTGTCTTTTGAATTTCCTGTTATTCTACTTTTTCCATATGTACTACATGAGAGCACCCCAGACCAATATTCCTACTACCTTGGCTGTTATTCCCCTTTAAAGTGATTTGTAACCCAAACAATTTGAGCATAACAACTCAAATTGTTTCTATTCAACAGCAGAGTTTATTATCTTGCCTCCAGCATTGGTATTTCCAAGGTCATCATACCTTTGAAGTAGCAAGTGTTTGAGGAAGATTTTAGTGGTCAATGGTGAATTTTTTATTGTGACTGTGGCTTCCGCCAGGCCCTGTACTCTGTTTTACCGTATTACTGTTAAGCAGGCCTTCGGTAATCTCGGATTACTGGCCGGTTACGGTGCTAAACCCATAGGGCCGGGTTTGGGTCGTGACAATGGCATTTTCTCTAATCGATTCAAAATTTCTGTTGAAATAGGTAATTTCGTTCAATCTAATCTGTACTTAAAATGTTTTCATGGTTGGGTTGGGTTAGAGGGCCAAGTAATGTGATTCTCCTTGTTTCAATGAAATCTGCTACATCAGGTTGATAATTGAAATGAAACCTGGATTCCAGCAATTTAATTTGTCATGGGAAAGAAAGTTATCTATATTTCAAAATTTTAAAATCTTTTTAATAATGCAATATGAGAGGTAGAAGAAAATGAAAAAAGATACTCAAAACAAAGTTAACATTGAAAATATGAATAGATGATACTCTCAAAACAAGGTAATCCTCTCTGGGTACTTATAGGTTAATACAGTGCACTGATTATTGAGTTCGCTTCAATGAAAAAAAAGAAGATAATCTTACGTTGTACTTCTGGTGGAATTCCTCCTAGTGGCTAGGATCTACACTGAGTTAGTCTGATAGAAAGAAATGTGGAAGTCTGTCATGTTCTATTTCATACATATGCCTTTCTTCATATGTGAGAGCAGAGCACCCATAGTTTTGACCTGGTTGGAGCCTTAAGCACTGACTCAAGGCAACAACTCTTCAATCTTTAAGAACATTGAAGAGCAGAATCACCTATCCAAAAAGAACACAATCCCAAATTTTTTTTTAAAGGTTTTTTGGACAAGAGGTCTAGCTTGGGGCCTTGGCTTGAAGGTGATCCCATATTAGCTCCATAAACATCATCTACTGTGGATGCTTGTTTGGGTGTTAGATCTTCTTAATCAGAATCTTTGTATATTGGAATATGCATCAAATAAGTTGCTTATAAGTATGAGAATACTCATATATATATATATATATATATATTACGTGTTGTATAATATTTTGAGATAAAATATTGTATATTCTTTAGAAATATACTTCCAATTAATGGAATTTATATCTCTCATTCATTTGATAAGTTAGAAATATTAGGTTAAACCTTAATAAATGTGAGCATTTTTTTCTTCGATAAATGTCTCATATCCTTGCCTTGTACATTGAGAGAAATAGAAGAATCGTAATGCAAATTGCAATATGCAAACCTTGGAGCCAAGAGAATAGTGATGATGGACCTAGGTTTGATATATATATATATATATATATATATATATTTTTATTGTGATGATAGTTACAGGAAGGTTCTGTGGCTTTCCACATTCAAGTCCATTAATTGGTCAACAATTTCAATGTTTTTAGTTTATGAAATAGGTCAGATAATATTATTAGTTTTTTATTTTTAGTTTATGTCATTAACTTTCAATGTTTATGTCTTGAATTTCATAAACTAATGTTGGCCATGTAACCTGCAAATCATTGGTCAACAATTTCCTTGAATAAAATTTCTGTAACAATTGTCTAGTTGAAGAGGTTGTCCTGATTGTCTAGTTGAAGAGACTATCCTGATTGGTGAATTTTACTTTCAATGATCAATGTTAGTTTTTGATGTGTTTCTATTTTTTAGAAGTTTCATCTTTTCACAAATCCTAATGATCAGAAGGTTAATGAGTTGACTTCTTTATTACTTTTACTTGATGGTGTTTCCTAAAGGACTATTGTGTTAATAAGAGAGTGAAGAATATCCCTTCTTTGGATCTTTTTCTTGTAAATCTTTCTTTGATAGAATCATTGAATGGGTGCTGGTGTATAAAGTAAAGGAAATGTGTGGATCTATTGCTGATATGTTCCTGTGTGTTACTGATCTGTTGTGTGTTTTTGGCTACTCTGTTGCTGGTTTTTTGTCTGTTATGTTGCTGGTTTTTGTCTATTATGTTGCTGGTTTTTGTCTGCTCTGGTGGTGGTTTTTTGTCTACTCTGTTGCTGATTCTTGGCTGATCTGTTTCTGATCTGTGTGTGTCTGCTGTCCCTGTATGTTACCGATGCTATGTGTTGGTTGTTGTTCTTAGTTTTTGTTGGTGTGTTCCTATTTCGAGTCTGGTTGGTGAAGTGTTTAATTGAAATGGATCAAACACTTCAATCAACCATACCAGTTTTCTTTCCATTTCAATTAATTCAGTTATTAGAACAAAACAAACCCATTATTTTGTACCTGAGGATAGAAGATAGGAATTGAAGACATGGTTGAGCTTTGTCAAATTGTGACAAGGTTGGTGTCTATGTGCCTCATTGTTCACTTCAAACTCCAAACAGGAACACACCAACAAAATTAGTTTATGAACAACCTGATATCCCAGCTAACCTCTGCAATCTTGTCTGTGAAAGCTTAATCCCCACCAAATTACTTTTATTCAAGTTCACTTGAAACTCCAAAACTAGCTTTAATTGTACCAGAATTCTTAGTTTTATAATATATAGGCTTAATATAATGTTAGCAGAGTTAGAGCTCTTGTTATATATCATTACAGAGTTGGTTGCAGACTTGGGATTCTAACTTTAATTGTAGCAGAATTCTTCATTGGAAGCATAATGTTAGCTCTTGTTATATATCATTAGAGAGTTTGTTGCAACTATCATTGAATCATTTTTTATTGAATTTACTTGATCTCCATTTATTTATCTAAAATTATCATTGAATCACTTTCAACAAAACGAGGAGTGTTTTAATTTACATGTTATCTATTTATTAATTAATTTACTTCCAACTGGGAATCCTAGTCATTTCTCCAACCCAATATATGTTGCCATAATTTTCTTTACCTTGTCTGTAGATGATTCAACAACAAAATGGTGCATATTTCACCAACTTGATGAATGATGGGACTGATTACGAATTTATGGATGAACCTCTTGACAAAGGGGATTAATCTTCCCCATTCTCTCCTCAAATAAAAACCACCAAGAAATCACAACAAGGTGGCAACTTCACTACAGAAGAAGATAGTATGCTCATATCGGCATGGCTTAACATTAGCTTAGATCCAGTGCAAGGGAATGAACAAAAATCAAAGGCATATTGGCTAAGAGTGTGAGAGTATTTCCACCAGTTCAAAACGTTTTCATCTAATCATGGTCAAACTTCTTTAATGAATCGTTGGTCAACGATTCAACTTGCCACGAATAAGTTCAGTGGGTGCTTCGCCCAAATCTAAAGGTTGAATCAAAGTGGAAAGACTAAAAAAGATAAGGAATTAATGCCATTGAGATTTTTATACTTATTATCGTTGGAATTGTCTGATCTCATGATAATTAGTGTTCTTTTATCTATTATTCAGATTCATGATGCGAAGAAATTATACAAAGAGTTGTACAAATCGTCATTTCCATTTGAACATTGTTGGCATGAATTAAGAGATCAACCAAAATGGCGAGAGGAATATAGCATGAAGAAACAAAAACCAAAAAAAGTGGCAACTCCCGGCGTTTGTTCTCCTATTACACCGAATTCAATCAATTTAGAGAACAATGATGTTTCACATAATGACAATGTAGACTTGGAAAGACCACCGGGTAGGAAGGCTAAAAAGGAACGTTTGAATAAAAGAAAGAATAAAAACTGTGGAAATGAAGGAGGATCGCCTATTTTAATATTATTAGAAGATTTAAAGGAAGATAGAAAGAAAATGAATGACAAGAAAATAGAGATGTATGAAAGGTCGTATCTTCAAGAGCAAGAAAAGATTGATAATGAGAAAAAGAGGACGCAAACGGAACAAGAGAAGGTTGCTAATGAGAAAGAGAAGATACGAATGGAACAATTAAAGGAGGAAGAGCGAATAATGTCAATAAATAAGGGTGGTCTACCTATATTGCAAGCAGAATACGTTCATCACCACCAAACAGAAATTCTCAAAAAAAAGATTTTGTTGTTGGAACTATCTAAAAAAAATTTAGTTGTTGGGACTATGTTTTTCACTTTATTTATTGTTGGATTTGATTCTCCATTGTAGGAAGAACTATGGTTTTTATGTAGTTTATGTTTGAACTCGTTATTATATGTTAAAACTATTTTGAAACTACCTATCGTCGAATGGTTGAACTAGTAGCAATTTAATTACTCAGTGGAATTCTTGTTGAATGCTTGCTAAAGTACTCCATGGCTAAATATAATTGGTTGTTGCACTACAAGAAAAAACACTTTTGGCGACCATCTATTTTTTTTGGTCGCAAATAGTCCACTTTTTGCGACTAAAATTTAACTTTTGGCGACCACAATTTTTTGGTCGCGGAAAATCACCTTTTGGCGACCAAAAAAAAAAGTTGGTCGCGGAAAGTATACTATTGGCGACCAAAGGCTTTTTTGGTCGCGGAAGATCGATCTTCCGCGACATGTGTCCTGTTTTAGCATATTTTGAAAAGTCATATTATGTTCATAATTCTGTTCTCATTCCTTTTTGAGCATGCTTAGGAATAAATTGAGCATTCTAAATGAATTAATGCGTTGGAATAAAGCCTAAGATAATTGAATAAGTTAGAGAACGACTAGCTTAAGCAATATGAGTCAATATGTGTATGTATTATGAATTGTGTAAGTTCATTCGCGAAGCTGTATCAGTAACCAAATCATTGTGAGTAATATCTTAGTAAAGATATTTTTATGTATCTTATTTTCTAAATGAAACTAATGTGGCAAGTTTTCTGAATTTATGATTTTGTGTTACGAATGAGCCTTCTATCTGTCTGATTCATAAAAGATCTGTAAATATGATTAACAATCATGAAAGCACATGATAGACCAGAGGTCGTTCTGTACAAATGAAATGGACCAGAGGTCGTTCTGTATATCTGATGAAATGGACCTAAGGTCGTTCTGATTATCTGATTCACTGTACATCTGATAAGTCTAAATATCTGTTATTTATTGACCCAATGGTCATTTTACAATTGTAATTGAATAGACCCGAGGTTGTTATACTCTTTTGGCGACCAACTTATCTTTGGTCGCTAAAAGTTTACTTTTGGCTAATATGAATTGGACTTTTCGCGACCAAAAAAGTTGGTCGCGAATGGTCACTTTTAGCGACCAAAGGCTTTTTTGGTCGCAGAAAACTATCTGTGACGAGGCTTTAGCGACCAACTCGCGACCAATATATTTTGGTCGCGAAAAGGTTTTAGCGACCAAATATGGTACTTTTCGCGACCAAACATGTTCGTTACGGAAAGTGTTTTTTCTAGTAGTGTTGTATGTTGGATTGAAGTGCTACTTTTTACAGGACATTTCTATTTGTTGATGAATTAAATATAGATTATGTAAGTTGCTGGTGTTTTGATTTTGGAAGTTGTTTGATATGTTTTATAAATTTAACTTTGTAGAAAATTGAAGTTGTTACGCAGGAACTTGCAAAGCTTAAGAAGCAAAATACAACCTAATATTTATTTTCAGTAGTTTATCTCTCAGCCTCATTCTTTTTTTATTTCCATGGCTCGCAATAGTGTAATGAAGATGATTATTGATGACTCAGATTCTGATAATGAATTGGAGATATTTGCAATAGCTGTTTTAGAATAAGAACGACTAAATAATGAGAGACAATTGGGATTATGCCGTGGTTCCATTCAAGGGCATGCAGTTATTTATCGTAATCGAATTCAAGGCCACAAGAGACTTTATCAAGATTACTTCTCTGAAACGCCTACATATCCTCCCAATTTATTTAGGAGGAGGTTCCGGATGAGTCGATGTCTCTTTCTTCGTATTCTATCTATGGTGGAAGCATATGATCCTTATTTTGTCTAGAAGGAAAATGCTGTTGGAGTTCTTGGTCTGTCTTCCCTTCAAAAGATGACAGCTGCTATGAGAATGCTAGCTTATGGAGTAACGGCCGATTCTGTAGATGATTATGTGAGGATTGGAGAAAACACTGCAATAGAAAGTCTACAAAGGTTTGTTGAGGCAGTGGTTGCAAATTTTTCAGATGTGTAATTGAGGACGCCAAATAAAGATGACATTGCTAAATTACTAGAGATGGGAAAAAATCGTGGGTTTCTTGGAATGTTAGGGAGCATTGACTGTATGCATTGGGAGTGGAAGAATTGTCCTTCTGCATGGAAAGGTATGTATTGTGGTCACGTCCATGAACCAACTATTATTTTAGAAGCGGTGGCTTCCTATGATCTATGGATATAGCATGCATTTTTTGGATTACCAAGATCTCATAACGACATCAATGTGCTAGAACGTTCTTCTATATTTTTTCTCCTTGCTGAAGGGCGTGCTCCCCAAGTTGATTACTCAATCAATGGAAATGACTACACAATGGGATATTATCTCGCTAATGGTATATGTCATTAATGGTCAACATTCGTTAAAACAATCACATCTCCACGAGGCAATAAGCAAATAAATTTTGCTAAAGCTTAAGAGTCAGCAAGGAAGGATGTCGAACGAGCATTTGGAGTGCTCCAAGCACGTTTCGCAATTGTGCAAGAACCTGCACGTTTTTGGAAAGTTGAAACCCTTAAGGGCATGTTTGATTGGGTGGATTAGAGTATGGGATTGAGATTATTAATCCGTGGGCCCAATTATCTTATGTTTGTTTTAACATTTTGGTTTAGGATTATTAATCCAATGGATAATTAATCCAACAAATTTGTAGGATTATTAGTAATGGGGTAGAGGTGGGATTATTAATCCAATGGATATTAATCCAATTGGATAGTGAATACCACACAAATATAATAGGATTAGTAATATTTCACTATTAATCTTGTGAATTAAACATGACCTAAAGTTATTATGAAGGCATGTATAATATTGCATAACATGATTATTAAGGATGAGCGAAATGAACAAAATGTAGGCTGTAATTATGATGCAATTGATAAAAGTCTCCCTCCAGCAGTGTCACACGAGCGTACACGTGAACTTTATGAATTCATTCAAAATCATCATCACATCAAAGATAGACAAACTCATTCTAAACTCCAAGCAGACCTAGTTGAGTATTTGTGGCATCTACATAGAGATTTGTAACAACTTGAATTAGAAATGATTTATTTATTTTGAAGTTTATTCTTAACTTTGTTATTTATGATTTTTTTTTTCTTATTTTATTCATTGACCTTTGTAAGGTTTTTTATTAGTTATTTTGTATTCTTTTGGTTCTTAATTTGATAAATTACAATTATTGAAGAACTTCATTTGTATTGTTTTTTTTTTTTTTAAATTCTTTATTGTTTTCTTTTATTCTTCCGCTCTCCTCCCCTTCAAGATGGTTCTACAAAATTCATATGTTGGTATATATTCACATACTATAAATTTTATAAAAAAAATTAAATATTTCTTAACATTATTTTTTATAATATTTTTAAAACTAATATTAAAAAATATTATTTTTAAAAATATTATCGCAAATATCACATTGGCAACCATATTAGCGTTTGGTGCGTATGTGGCATTCTATGAAAAAGACAGTAATATATATAGCATTTTTTGTTTTCAAAATTGGTTAAGTTAGTTTGAATGACTAGTTAAAATAAAGAGTATGATTGGAACACACAATAGCTAAACTAATTAGATAAAATAAAGAGTGTCCTTTTTTTGTATTTTAGCTAGTGAAAAATAAAGAGTGTGGTTGGAGATGCGCTAAGAGAATTTTTATATATTATTAATGACACAGTACATCTTTATATACTAAATACAATGAGGAAATCAACCCTACTTCTAAGCCTAAATTCCTGTGATAGAGAAGACATTCCTAGTTTAGATATACACAATCACCTAGTTTAGATATACACAATCTTTACATTAGTTACAGAAATATCCTTAATATCGCTTCACCTTCAGCTGGGCACACGACTGGATTATCTAAATTGACCTGGTGCCCACCATCAAAGTCACTTTAATGATTTGAACCATTAACATTTTAGAAGTCTATGTGTAAATTATTAAAAAAATTAAATTGATCTAATAATTGTAATCACATTATTTCATTATTCTTGTCTTAAAAAAATTAAATTTAAGTATATTTTGTCTTGAAAAAATTAAATTTAAATATAATAAAATAATATAATTATGCTTATTATATTAATCTAATTTTTTTCAGAATTTAAAAAAAAAAATTACTATTTAAAAACTTGACGGGTCGTGTCTTCTTCAATCATTCCTTAAAATAGAAGCAAACAAAGAAAAGGTACAAAAAAAAGAGGCAGCCGCGGGGGCTTGGCACAATCCATCCATTAATCAAATGTATATTTTTTATACAAATCTATACTTTTAATGTAAGGCATTTGAGTAATACTAATTGAGTAATACCATGTCGGTTTCATGTCTGCACATGAATATTGAGAGAAAATATATTCCATATCAATTTCCCTTTTTTTCCAATTTTTTAGAAGAAAAAAATAAAGAAAATAAAAATGATGCCAAATTATTTTTAAATAGTATTTTCCTCCACTTTGAATTCAGTCACAATTCTTAAATTAAGTTTATAATTTTTGAGTCACTTTTGGAATTCTACAGATGCTTTATGGTTTTAAGAGTACTTGAGTTGTTTTTTTGAGCAATCATAATTGTGTTAGAGCAGCTCGGTATTTCAATGTGGTCGCTATTGAAGTTATCAAATTATGATATTGTGATCAACAATTAAATGCATTTTATAGAAATCCAACTATAGTTGAAAGATGAGATGATAATTGTGCCAAAAATAAAACAAGTATAGAAGCAAATTTATCAAATTTTGACGTTTTTATACTCTAGCATAGCCAAAATTTAACACTAACATGTTGAATTTGACAATTAACATTAGAGAGCTCTAATACTATCATGTGACTTCATCTTGCAGCATATTGAATTTTTTTCCCCCCAATAATTTGGGCATATAAGGTTAAAAAAGTATTTAATAAGTAACTTGTGATCACATATCTTATCACGGGACAACTCTTTGCAGATTTTTTTGATCTTAACACTAATTTAGTAGAGTTCACGTGAATGATTACATGTATGTCCAAAGTCCAATTCTATACTTAGACTCAACCATTGTGCAACATACATGCTCAGAACATAGCCATGGCTAATTACCCATATTTTTTCCACTACTCTTCTCTCCTACTGGCCATGGCAATGCTACAAATCACTGGTGCTGTCCAATTTGATGTCAGCAACATTGCCAGAACATCCCCTGGTGGGCTCCGATTCACGGAAGAGATCGGCGTCGACTACGCCGAGCAGACCATGGAAACCACCACAAATTTCATATGGGACATGTTTGATCAACAAAACAATGCTAGTGAGAGAAAGGACGTCGAGAAAGTCTCGATGGTCATTGCTGACTACAAAGGAGCTGAAGCGATAACCTACGGTGAAACAATCATAGTCAGTGCACTGTACTTACAAGGCTACAATGGTAATGTGACATGGGAGTTCACTTCATTGATATATCATGAGATGACACACGTGTGGCAGTGGACCGGGGCGGGCCAGGCCCCTGATGGGCTCGTTGAAGGTATGGCGGATTACACGGTGCTGAAGGCTGATTATGATCCACCGGGCTTTGCAAAGCCCGGAATGGGGGAGAGGTGGGACCAGGGGTACGATTTCACGGCTCGATTTTTGGAATATTGTGAGGGACTTAGGCCTGGGTTTGTGGCAGTACTGAATAAAAAGATGAGGGATGCTTTTGACGTCAGCTACTTTGATGACTTGATGGGAAAGCCAGTTGATCAGTTATGGAGCGAGTACAAGGGTAGTTATGGTGAGACAGGGGAAAGAAATGTCAGTGAACATAATAGGGTAAGAAGGTGGAGAGAATGGAAGGCTAAGTATGGGAACAAAGCAGGCAATGTGTAGTTTATTGCGTTATGTTTATGTTAATGAATAAGAGGAGTTTTTGTATGGATGTTTCTATCATTTTATCGTGATGAATTGTCTAAGAAGAAGATAAATTAGACAATGTATTACCCACTTTTTTTTTTTTTCAAATCAAATATGCAATTCTATGTTCACACATATTCTAACAATCTTCTTCATTGTGTAGGCTAGCTCCCCCTCAAGTTGAATCTATATCATTTACAAGTTTTACATAGGTCATACACAATCTTTAATCATGATCTATTACTGTCCATTACCGTGACTACCATACTCCATCAAGAACCACCATATTGTTGAAGATTAGCTCTAATTTTCTTCGTCAACAATGACTACTGATTGAAAACAAATAAATAAACTAAAGATTCAATTGAGCTATTCCATGATAGGGTAGTTGATCTTCAGATCCTATTGGTGGTTGCCATAAATGTTGTCGGTGGCTTGTTGAAGACTTTGGCTCTCCTATTGCATCTATAAATGGTTAGGTAGTTTTTGGTAACATTTACGTTTTTTGTTTATGTTTACAAAAATTTTATAAATTGTTTTTGTTTATTTTTAGAAAAACATAAACTACAAACCCGTTTGATTTGAACAAAATGTTTGAAAAATTTTAAAAATATAAACTAAAAAATTTGTTTACTCAGACCTAAAATATTTATATTTATTTTTGTATTATTTATGACAATGAGATCATACACATTATAATTGAGAAAAAAATTAATTGAAAAAAAAATTAATTGGAAAAAAATTAAATGAAAAAAAATTGAAAAACAAATTATTTAAAAAAAATAATTGAAAAAAAAAATTGTTAGTCAAATTTTTAAATTTCTGTTTAAAAACCAACAAAAACTCATTTTCTGAATTTACGTTTTTTCCTTAAATTTATAAACTGAGACAACTATTTATAAACCAAAAAAATTATCAAACAAGTTTTTATGACAGTTTTTTAAATTTTTGAAAATATAAATTGAAAACTAAAAACTAAATGGTTACCAAACAGGCCCAGTGAATGGAAGGGGTTCGGTATTGCATCTATAAATGGTTAGATAGTTTTTGGTAACGTTTACGTTTTTTGTTTATGTTTACAAAAATTTTATAAATTATTTTTATTTATTTTTAGAAAAACATAAACTATAAACCCGTTTGGTTTGAACAAAATGTTTGAAAAATTTTAAAAATATAAACTAAAAAATTTGTTTACTCAGACCTAAAATATTTATATTTATTTTTGTATTATTTATGACAATGAGATCATACACATTATAATTGAGAAAAAAATTAATTGAAAAAAAAATTAATTGGAAAAAAATTAAATGAAAAAAAATTGAAAAACAAATTATTTAAAAAAAATAATTGAAAAAAAAAATTGTTAGTCAAATTTTTAAATTTCTGTTTAAAAACCAACAAAAACTCATTTTCTGAATTTACGTTTTTTCCTTAAATTTATAAACTGAGACAACTATTTATAAACCAAAAAAATTATCAAACAAGTTTTTATGACAGTTTTTTAAATTTTTGAAAATATAAATTGAAAACTAAAAACTAAATGGTTACCAAACAGGCCCAGTGAATGGAAGGGGTTCGGTGTGGCAATCAGAAGAGAGTGTAAGCAACTGAGTGAGTATGAGTGTAAATAGAGTGAAAGTATTGTCGCCTCCTCCTCTATTGTTGAAATCTTTGTATTTTGTTCCATATAGTGAAATCCGCTGCCTGTAGACGTAGACGATTTGTCGAATCACATAAATCTTTGTGTGTTCTTGCTTGTGTGTGTTTGTTTGCTGCTTCCTAGGCACAACAAATTGGTATGAGAGCATAGTTGTGCCAAAACAGAGCATCTGCAACTCTGTTTTCTGTAAATTGAAAATTTTGAAGTTATCAAAATCACGTTTTCAGGATACCAGAACGGATGCCCCGACGAGAGAAGTCAAGACCCAGAAACACCAACCCAAACAGACTCTTCACGCACCCTCACGCGCTCTGTCGGAGCTTGGCCGGAGAGTCGTCAAAAAGATAAGTCCGACGAAGACGCATACGCAACGTGTCACCAAACCTGAAGTCTTTAAGTATTCACTTGTGCAACAATAGAACACATGTCACGACCCAAACCCGCCCATATAAGTTTAGCATCATAACCGACCAGTAATATTTAGATTACCAAAGGCCTCTTAACAGAATAACATATAGTTAGGGGCCGCGGAAGCAAATATATAAAATATACATAATCCATTGAGCTGTGAAAACATACATTGGACAGATAATCTTAAACTTTTATAAACTTACGAGTAACGTCAGAAGATACAGTATTTACACGTCACTCTATGTACATATAAACAGAAAACTTGTCCATAAATCAAAAGAAACAAAGTCTAATACATTCACAAAAATAGTCGCTAAACTTGACTTAATGCGGAACCTCCTCGAGAGGCACAAAGACTGGCTGACAAAAACTAAGACACCAGGTCCTCAACTTTGAGCCTGGTCACGTGCTTGATCACCTACATACATATTATAAATAATGAGCTAGAGCTCAGTGAATAATAACAGAGTAAAGAGTTAAATAAATGTTGTCCATAACAGTTACAGGAAACAGTATTCAGTAGTTATCAAAAATGAATTCATAATCATGTTCAAAAATCATAGTTCATAATAGATACAGATTCAGAATCATATTCATAATTAGAATTTGCAGTTAATTATACGTTGTACATTCATTAACACTAGCAGAAACGGTTGACCCATAAAAGGGACGATCATAAAGGCATACAGTTGACCCATAAAGGGACAACTATAAAGGCATACAGTTAACGTATAAAGGGACGGCCATAAAGGCATACAGTTGACCCATAAAGGGACGACCATAAAGGCATACAGTTGACTCACGTGCACGGAGACGATACAGTTGGCTCATGAGACGTACAATTGGCCCATAATTGGGACATATACAGAATGATCCATAATAGTTGGCTTATGAGACGTACAATGGGCCCATAATTGGGACATAACAGAACAGATAACAGATGCCATATGAAGCTAATGATGCCACGAGTACATTTCAGAAACATTGGACAACCATTCATTCATATAGAAAATAATATTTCAAAAAACATATTATCTTATATCATTCAGAAAATACTTATAAATTGAACATAGCTTTACAAAGTTATTACTCACAAATAACAGATGGCTCCAAATAAACGAATATAGTAGGCAATTAAGATATTTTGTGGCCCGTGACCTACACAGGAACAAAATGAATATATACTGAATTACACACCCGGAAACATCTACGTGTTCTTTCTTATCTTGGTGCGCCTCTACCTTTATCTTTATTATTGTGTCTTAATCTTGGCCTAGAAATTCCTAGGATGGAATGATGATGCAAAATGTGAGTGGTCATGCAACTTAATCTTCGCTCGAGAGTAACTGTCTACGCTCGAATGGATATGCAAAATGTCAGTGGTCACTCGGTCTGTAAACTTTTGCAAAAGTGCTGGTTGCTGGATTTTTCCACTCGGCACTCGCTCGAGCATGAGAGACATGCCCTCGCTCGAGCGTAACTTTTGTCGCTCGAGCGGGCTGCAAAACGTAAGAACTTCTAGGAGCATGCATTTCACGCTCGAGCAAACTTATGGTCGCTCGAGCGGAAGAGCACGCACTCAGAGTGGTCGCTCGAGCATAGGAGCAGAAATTTGGAATTTCCAAATTTGCTCCCAAGCTCAAAACTTAATTTCAAAACCTTCAAAACACATCCTTTAGAACCAAAACTTAGTAAAACATTGAGAAACTCATAGTACATGATGAATTACAAACTATTTTGCAAAATCAAGCCCAAAAGCTATGCCAATTGTAGTAAACAAAACCTGAAACTTAGATAACATAACTTGTATGTGATGTCATGAATTCCAACCTTCCAAAACATGATCAAATGAGTCATCAGGCTCAAAAACAAGTTGAATTCTTTAAACAAAACTAAGATATGAACATACATGTGAGAATTCTTGTAAAAGCCACTTCAAAACTTCATGATATGCACATGCATGTATGATTTGAGTTACAATTCTTTAATCCTAGCTCATTCTCATGTTAGTCCACCTCATTTACTTGAATTCTTACAAAAACTAACTCAATTACACAACTAAGGGTTAAATTTCTTACCTAGGCTTGTCAAGATGAGAGCTAAAAGCTTAATTCTTGAGTTTCTAAGCCAAACTTCCACGTTCTTCTAATTTCTACAATCCTCTAGTTGAAATCCAACCTTCCTTCTCTCTCTCTCTCTTTCTCTCTCACATTGAGTTCAAAAAATGAGGAGACGAGGGTGTAAAAATGTGTAGGAAGAGGTAGGAGTGGCCTTAGATAAGCTTGCTTAGTGGTAATTAATTAATTTGGCTTAAGTTAATCAAAGTGACATTAATTAATCTAATTTAATCGTTTCGAATCGAATTTCAATTAAACCTACTATAAAATTCTAAAAATTCTAATTAACACAAAAACCAAGTCAACTTCTGAATCAGATGCCGATAAGGCCTTCAATTCACAAACCGAAACGAAAACATGATCAGATCTTTCTATATTAAACAAATACAAACACAAATAAGGCACATATGATGCAAAATTTCATTTTAATTACTTATTAGACATAATTAAACATGGATTAACGTCAATCATAGGTCGGGGTTGTTACAACGCAAGTCCAATTGGCATAGTGGTTATAACTTAGTTCCAAACCTTGACGTCAAGGGTTCCAAACCCTTCACAAACAAATTTTCAAATTATTTTTTGGAAGCTGCTAAGTCATTACTATGTCATCGCCACGTCACTGCCACAACCGCGCCACATATTGCCACGTATGAAGCCACACTAGCAACAACTCAACCGTCACGTTATCGCCACATTAACACACGTGTTTACCACGTCAACTCATATGCCACGTCATCATCTCAGTCAGCCAAATTTTTGAAATTGCAAGGAGGCCCTTAAAAGTTTAGGAAATTACATTTTAGCCCCTGATCTTGCTGAAATTACAATTTAGCCTCTGAAAGTTCAATAAATTACAGTTAGGTCCCTGGAGTTTTGGAAAATTGTAATTTGGCTCCTGAATTTGGAGAAATTTCATTGAGGTCCCTGTAGAGGTGGAGAAAGCGATTTCCTAGCTAAATCAACCGTTTTGGACACAAATGTGGATTTTGT